GGGTTAGAAGGCGACGTAGTGAAAGGAGGAATCCACAGTTTTTTGTTGAAAGACATGTTCATCACACTGTTGGAGTTATGGTTTGGGGTGCTATAGCTTGACACATGCGTTTTATAGGTCGCATACTTTCTAATACAATTATATTTTTCAAACAACTATCGGCATCTCTAGGTCAGGCCGGGTACTTCTGGGACCACACTCGTACATGCGGTAGACGCCACGGTACAATTGTAGTCGACTCCGAACTTTGAGTGCCATATATATATTCGAGGACCCCTGTATACTTAGCTGTATAATAACAATAACAAGACTATTTTTCTCTGTTCATCTATATGCTATACAAGTCGTATTATCAAATTTCCGCAACTCTGCCTCCGACCTGTTTGTTAATAAACACACTGCGGTACGAGAAAATAACTTCAAGACTATTTACTATTTAGCACATTGTCAAGGAGGGACTAAATTAATTGCCACAATCAACAAAAACTTAGATAAGATGTGAAGGATGCTGTGAGCTAATATCCTGTCTAGATATTCAGCCTTACGGGATTGGCACATATTAAAAAAATTGTGTGTAGGTGTAGTGTGCGTAAGGTTGTTTTGTTAAAAATGCCTGTTTCTGAAGGTATATTATGGGTGGTTCGACACTTGAAACAAGTAAAAAGGTACTGAAAACGTAAATCATGTTGCACTTTACAGAATTTCTGTTTTTACCTTCTGGAAGATGAGCATTGTCGTTATGAGTATTGATTTTAAAATACTTCAGTTTTCCTACTCCGCAAGGTAGAATTGAATCGAAAAGTGATATTGGGATAAAATATAAAAATGTTTAAAAAGTCGTTTTTTAGTACTTCGACCATTATACTTGAACAAATATACTAAGTGACATATAAATTCAGTTTAAATGGTTTTATTTTAATAAAATTTTGTATAAGTACTTAATGAAGCATAATAAGTAAATGATAAAAATTTCAAAATGATTGCACTGCTTTAAAGCCCTTTGACCTTTAATAATGTGTGGATGCACCCTGATGTGCTACGCATTCTCCAACGCGCCTAGGCATGCTTCTGATCAGGTGGTCAATGTCCTCCTGTGGTATCTCATTCCAGGCAACCACCAACTCCTCTCGAAGTGCTTCTAGAGTCTGAG